GAAATAGACTAGGCAACATACGCCTTAAATAACCAAACGAAGCATGTCCTAACCGACAATGCAATAACCAAATTTCTGATAAATTATTGGTACAGGATGCTCGAACTGCATTAGCTCTGCCAAGAACGACGTCATCCACATAGTATAACCCCTCTCTCTTAGTGCCACGCCCAATTATCGCCTTGGTTTGAATATCCTGAAGTAAACAAAAAAGTGGATACATAAGCACAACACAATCTAATTGCTCAATAAATTGAGGAATAGATAACAAATTATGAGACAATGAGGGAACAAGCAAGCAATGATGAAGAGGAAGGGCTGGTGTGAGGTGCACCGTGCCTGCCCCCAAAACCGGTGCTGTTTGTCCATTGGCAGTTGCAGTACATTTCCGCGAACTCGTTGTCATACTAGTAAATAAATTCTTATCAAAAGTTATATGATCGGTTGCACCCGAGTCTAGAATCCAACTTGTATGATGTTCCATATCATAGGCTAAAAATGCATGCCCCATACTACCTAGAATGGACGGGGTGTCACTAGGAGTGGTCCTAGTCAGCAAACTGTGACTTGGATCACCAGAGGGTGGTCTGGCATCCTTGGGAACAGTAGCCACGGATGCACGGCCTCCTCCTATGCCACCAACACCTCGCCCCTTGGCACGCAACTTTTTCTTCAATTCCGGAAACCAGTCAGGTACTCCATGTTTCTGAAAACATGTATCTTCTGTATGACGGGTTTGCCCACAAAAAGTACACTTCAAGTCATCCTTATTTTCCCGAATGAATGGCCGAGAAGTTGTTGATGATGAAGGATTAAAGGTCCAGCTACCCGAAGATGGCTGAGACACCATATCCCCGGAAGAGACTCCTCCCTGATTCCCAACGCCATTACTACACATCATCGTTGCATGGCGTTGTGCTTCCCGCCTCACAATAGAGAACACTTCCTCCACATATGGTAAAGGTTGTGATCTCAAGACATCACTACGCACCTTATCAAATATATCATCAAGCCCTGCCAAGAAAGCATACACACGATCTAGTTGGATCTCCTCTTGAAGTGTCTTCAAGTCACCCGCACATTCCATCTTGATTGGTCTCCTCTGATCTAATTCTTGCCAAACGGCTTTGAGATCGGCATAGTATACACCGATAGGCCTCCCTTCTTGTCGAAGTCTGAATGACTTCACTTTTAACTCATAAATCTTAGAAATATCAGACCCGTTGTAATACGTTCGAGCAACTTCTTCCTAAACTTCTCTAGCAATGGATGAAAAAACCCATGTTGGTAGGATCCATGGAATTAATCAACCACCCTTTCACAATGGCATTCTCGGTCTCCCAAGCTTCATACTCGGCACTGTTCTCCTTGGGTTCTTTGATGCTTCCTGTCACGAACCCTTTCTTACCACGCCCAGCAATATGCATCTCCAATACTTTGGACCAAAGAGGATAATTTGATCCATTGAGTTTTACAGTATTCGGTACATTTGAAGCATCACTTTGAATTACAACTGGACTCAAAATTGAGTTGTTGGCCACGCCATGCAACCCACCCTCCAATTTGAGCCCCATTCCTTCCTGACCGCTTGCCATGAAACACGCAAACAATACCCTGCTAACCATGGCAGGTGCTTACCCCCTACAGCTCTCGGTTTGTGCTGCAAAGAACACAGCAGAAAAACTCAAGGCTACATCCTTGAACGCAGCAACAGCAGATACGGTAGAAAAAAATATTTAGGGTTAGTTGGTATTTCAATTTCGGGGGGTGAGGTTTGGGTTTGTCAAGCGGAATGGAAATGCCACTGCTCATGCTGTAGCCTCATATGTTCTGTTGGGACACTATCGGTCCGGAATTTTTATTTAATGTTCTTGCTGAAGACGTAAACATTCCTATTAGAATTTAATAAAGTTTTCCTTTCGACAAAAAAAAAAAAAAAAAAAATTGATATGTGTGACCGCGGCAAATCTGCAGACTGATTTTTCTCAAAAGTTTGTCACTCTTTGCATTCTGAAAATCGGGAAAACAGAACATGAGTTTTCAAATTTTGGTAACTCTTTGCATTGACTATTTAATTTATAATATTTTTACTATTTGATTTGTATTTTTCATGAGTCTTGATGCATAGCAAATTGATTTTGGAAGATTTTGGTTATGAGATGTGTCGCACATAATCGACGATTAAGAGTGGTCAACAAACCGACAAAACTGTTTTGACGGAGATGAGACAAAGGCGGAGATGAGAACGATGAGCGGTAATGGGAGTCTGGGAGAGATCAAATAGTTTTTAGGGTTTTTAATTTTATAAATATTAAAACAAACGATTAAATGTGTAACATCCCACATCGTCCAGGGGAGTGATCCTTAAATGTATATTCTCATCCCTACCTAGCATGAGGTCTTTTGGGAGCTCACTGGCTTCGAGTTTCGTAGGAACTCCGCAGTTAAGCGAGAAGGGGGTTAGAGCAATCCTATGATGGGTGACCCACTAGGAAGTTGCTCGTGAGTTCCCAAAAACAAAACCGTGAGAGAATAGTAAGCCCAAAGCGGACAATATCGTGGTAGGTGGTAGAGCGGGCCCGGGAAGTGATCCGCCTCGAGCCGGGATGTGACAATTGGTATCTGAGCCTAACCCTGGCCGCGTGTGTGCCGACAAGGACATCGGGCCCCTAAGGGGGGTGGATTGTAACATCCCCACATCGCCCAGGGGAGTGATCCTTAAATGTATATTCTCATCCCTACCTAGCACGAGGCCTTTTGGGAGCTCACTGGCTTCGGGTTCCGTAGAAACTCCGAAGTTAAGCGAGAAAGGGGCTAGAGCAATCCCATGATGGGTGACTCACTGGGAAGTTGCTCGTGAGTTCCCAAAAACAAAATCGTGAGGGAATGGTAAGCCCAAAGCGGACAATATCGTGCTACGGTGGTGGAGCGGGCCCCGGAAGTGATCCTCCCCGGACCGGGATGTGACAAATGGGTACCCGTTTTTAACCGCTGATAATACCTATAATCACCCATTTATATTTCACGGGTAAACGATTACCCATAACCATAATCGTTAATTTTAAATGGACGGGTAACTATGGTTACCTATACGCGCGGGTAATTTGCCGATCCAGTGTGGTTGCTCAATGCTCATCAGCATTATTACTTGCTGGTGGCATCTTATTAGAATTGTGATGGTGGCATCTAATGTATCAAATATATTTAATATATTAATATATGAATATTGTTTTGTATCAAAAGAAATGAAAATAGCTTTGTGAATTGTGATGGTGGCTTCTAATTACAATGCATATGTACTTCAAAATACCGATTCTTATAAATTTAAAAGAAACAATCTATAATGGTGGCAAGTTGGAATTGTTAATATTGAAATTTGAAATGTTTATTATTTAAAAAATAAAAAATAAAACCGAACCTAACTGTGAAAACCGAATCGAATAGTAATTTCGGTTTGGTTTCCAATTTCGATCAAAAACCAAACCGAATGAAACCAAACCTATCCCTAAAACTCACACCACAAAATATAATTGGAGGAAAAGTTGCACATATTTACTATTTTTCTTTTCTTTTTTTCGTTATTGATGAACAGTGACTAGAAGTGTTTCAAGACCAATGGCTGTGACCGGTGACAATTTTGCACACTTGCACCGATGCCACGTGGGTTGTGCACGAGAGCAAAAATGTAAATGTATTTATGTGCAACTGGTCGCACAATGTATGATGAACGGTTAGGATGTGGAGTCGTTAGATACTATTTGTGTTTAATTTTAAATAAAAAAAGTCAAATAATTTATGAACGAACAATACACGATAAATAGCTAAGATGTGAAGATCTTAAAGTGGATCCGGATGGGATCCAATTCTAAGAGCACTTCCACCGGGGGTGGGATAGGCTGGCACACAACCAAAAAAATGGCCCGGCACCTAGGGAAGTCTCTCCAGCCCATGGGATTGCCTGGCACCCAGCCCAAGCTGGTCTCCAGGCCAGCCCAAAATTGACATACCTTGGGACCGGCTCGTATGACGCCATGCTAACGTCAGGGATGGAAGGAGCCACAGAGGGAGAAGGCAAATGGCCTGAAAGTGATGGCTCGAGTTCGACGGAAAATCTAAAAAAAGTGCACCGACAACATGTTTGGATCAACATAAAGGTTTCCAACACGATTTATATGTTAGAAACCATAAGAATAGGATTGAGAACTTACCCAGGTGAAATGCAAGAGATTTCACCAAGATTGGACCTTGAACTCGTCGGAGTTGTCCTTTTTCCTTTGTCAAAATCACATGCAAGGAATTAAGCCCTCAAATTAACCACAAAAATTGCAACACAACAGGATTTAAAGTTCAAGAACACAATACAGTGATAGAAACATCACCTGGGTTAGAGATTGAGAGCTCAAGCTCTCGGCTTCAATGGTAGGACCTTGCACCATGCACTGATGCCACATGCAAGGCCATGGTTGGGTTCCTTGAGCTCCAGAGATTACAAAAATAATATTTAGGGTTTGATTTATTGAAGGTTTTGAAGAGGAAGGAGAAGGAGAGCTCACAGGAATGAGCTGGAAAAGAGAGAGAGGGAGAGAACTGGTTGGGGATGTAGAGGGAGAGTACAGCGGATTCTAGTGGAAAGGTTCCTGACTTATCTCTTTTTTTTTAATAAAATTATTATTTTATAATAAATAATAATAATAATTTAATAAAATTGACTAGGCTATTTTTTTTTAGAGATGGAGATGCTCTTGCTCTATTACTGTTCATTGGGGTCTATCACTGTTCATTGAGTAGATAATTGCGCTGGGTGCTGGCACAAAGTATTTAAGGATGGAATTGCTCTAATGTAAAGGCCCACAAATTGTGGATTAATCCGAAGGTAATGGATGTGGTTGGTAATTTTCTGAAAAGTTGGTACTTTAAGTGTGATATAAAATGTCAAAATTATAAAAATGAACAAAACAAAAGGAAGCACATAGCAGTAGCCACACTGGAACTCTGGAACATACAAGACAAACCTATTTATTTGTGTATAACAAGATGTAACTAAAGCTCTCATTCGGCTCGACTCAACATACACATTTTTGTCTCTTTTGAGGTAAACTACATACAGACAGACATACATTACATATAAATTAACTACCATCTCGAGTTACCGAGGGGGAAGACGTGGGTTTGTCAGTCTCACCATTTGAACTACTCGACCCGATGATATATGAACGGGCAATATCCAACATCAGATCAATCTCTCTCTTGTACTGCAATGAATGACTACAATTATTACTGACCATTCAATTCTTGAGGCAACGCGCGCAACTAAAACGACAAGAAAACATGGTACAAACCTCGTTAATCGCCCCTGCCCTTATTTTGGATTGCATCACACACCATTTCTTGAAATGTACACCTGTAACAAGTTGCAAAACCCATAACCACTTTCTTCAAAACATTCCAAAATAAAACAACACATATCAGCCTAGCGTTCATGTGTTTCATGCGCCAGCTCCACTACGTCAGGAGCAACAACATAACTATCTCACTATACAAGTAATTAGCAATAACGCATAATAACACTGCTGTCTAATGAGGGCAAAGAGGATACGAGACGTATTTAAAACCTTACCTACTTTTATGTCTATATTAGATGAGTTCTCATCTATACTGTCCAAGCTCCACCTAACATGGACCTGATACAGTGATTCAACGTTGGCAAACATTTAGATAAAGATAACAACAAAAAAAAAATTGCTAATCGGTATTAAGTCTCATGTTAATAATGCAATAAGCTGACTTTAAATGAATGACAGGAATAACAATCTGAGTCTTCCAAAAGTATTACACATGCACCATATCATCCCAGAAAAAAATAAAAGATACTGAACCTCAAAATAAAATCATCAAGGTATTGGATACCTCAAAATAAGACCCGAATGGAACATCATGAGCCTGTTGCACCGTCTCAAACACCTTAAACAAGGAACAAACTCCGAAAAATTAAGAAATGAAAATATTTAAACTGAGAGCAAAAGAGCTTCAGAACAACAAAAGGAAATTTGAAAGAAACCAGAATGAAAAAGCTGAAAGCATGAGAAAGGCCTGATGATACAGCAATAATGTTACTATATAAATACGAAGAATGTTACTATCTTTATATTATGAACATGGAACACTGGAAACAACATAATCGAAGCAGACGAAGAAAGAATTCGTCGCACCAGTGTTATCTTGTCTGGTGATAGAACAGCATGCTGCCATTCTGTCATGGCTGTATCTGGAGGGCACATAGGACTGTTACAAATGCACCTAAATGTTATTTCTCTGACTTGACCATCATACTCCTCTGCAGGATGCCACTGTCCAATCTGCAAATGTCAAAACAGACGAAATTTCAGACTTTTGACTTTCAATAGGAAACCTTTCATTAAGAGAGAAAAATAAAAGTACAAAGAACGATGAGTAATATGTGCATCTTAGGAAATAAAAATACATCAATATTTTATCACGGTGTTCATTCAACAAATGAGACTTGAAATTCGTACGGCAAAAGCCACTAGTCTCATCGATTGAAAAAACTACACTACCATCAAATATCCCACATTAACGATCAACAAAAGATGTAGATAGATAGCAACTCTCCTTGAACAACATTTTGCCAACCACAAACCCAATCATAATCCCAGGCCGAGCAAACCATCAGAATCAATATTGGGATTGGTAAAGATTGTAACCAAGGCCCCACAAATACATGCATGAAATTCTGAATTACAAAGCTTGCACTGCTTAAAATTAGAAGGTACTTACAACAAGATTAGTGTCTTTTCGTTCTGAACGATACTCACGCAAATAATTTGAATCATCACTCAACAATAAATTGAAGAACTTTTCAGCTGTGCATGGGAAAACATCCTGGAAGAAGAAATGTTTGTTAATAAATAATAACTGATTAAAATAACTAATCTCTTGGCAGACAAAAGAGAACGATGCATACAGTATATATGCTGGTTACAGCTTCCTCCTTGATAAAAGCTTGAAGCTTTCCAGTTTTGGGGATGATATCTTCAGGAATCTTAGCCTGACTTCCTTTTACAGAACTGCTATGCGCACGCAGTGCTGACTCTGCCTTTTCCTATACAACAGAAAAAACAAATTTCTTCATCCAACCATTCAAGCAAAGCAGGGAAAAAGACCAGTAAATTAACGCATAATAAATAAATAAATAAATAAGAGATAGAAATTCACATTTACTACAAAAATAACATATGAAAATATCAGAGTTGTATTACTGCTAAAAATCATCCAGATATATGTTGAAAGAATGCATGTGTAAACATGGTCTTATAAACACTAAAGCCACTGAAATTGATCTTGTTAACAACTTAACACTAAAGCCACATAATTCCAGTCGCCCCATCAATGGTGCTTCTATTGCACTATATAAAAAGAGCATGATTAAATATCCACATCCAACTTATACAACACCAACATAATCATAATCATCGCTAATATAAAATATCATAACTTATGAAAAACATGCTATCAACCTTCTTCTCAGCTTCTAGCATTGTATGGTAATTCTTTTCTACACGCAGTAGACCTCTAAACACGTGGTTCCTGTTCCAAAATGATGCAAATTTATATCTGACTCTACCTGAAAATGGCACATTAACAGATAAATTCATTGTAATGGTGCTTCTCAACAGTATAAATACTCATATAGCAAAAAAGAATAGAAAGAATAAAGAACATAAAGACCATAATCCATATGAAATAACATGTCAACAAAATGCTAGTGTGCAAGACATTAACCAACAAAAGAATGTCCACTAGTTAAAACAGATGGCATTTACCAACTGTCATGTCATTGAGTGAAAGTTAAATTATTCATTTGGCCCCTGATACTAGTCAATTTGCCCCCTCAAACTGATATACCGTCATTCACAGTTTGTCCCACTTTGCCCTATAAAAAGCTAAACGAAGTCAGATTGAAAAGCAAAAAACTGATTGACCAAAAAAGCAAAAAACTGAAGAAAAAAAATAGGTCCCTAAAGACTATAACCCCGACCACCCACTCCACCTTCTGGCCGCAATTTCTCTCTCTTTCTTCACCCGTCTCCCCCACCCGCTGTCAAATGCAATCACCCAAGCTAACCCAAACCCCCAATCCCTCTCCTTGACATCCACCACCACCACCTGTCCAATCCCCCCTGTCGACCATTGGAACTGCAATCAATTCAAATCTTACCCGCCCACGCACCAACTCTCCACCCTGACCCCAAACCCCACCCACCCGGCACCCCCCAGACAATCAATCCCAAATCTGATCTGCCAACCCACAAATTCTGCAACCTGCAAGCCATGGCCTAACCACCCAACTCCTTCGGTTTTCCACTCAGAGGCCAGACCCGGTTGTCAAAATTACCAAGAGAATGAGGAAGGTAAGGTAAACAAAAAGAAATGGAGAGATGTGGGCCCACCATGCCATGTGGCAACTACCAATTAGCAACATCAACAACAGTGTCCAATGACCAAAATACTCGGCCAAAGCTGCCTCATACGCCAACTTAACAGAGATTGAATGGAATCGACTGAAAGAGGGCATAGTGTGACAAAAATGTAGCAGAGGATAAGTTAAACTAAAACATGTATCTGACATTTCGTACTTCCAGAGTTAGGGCCAAGCTGCCTCATACGCCAACTTAACAGGGATTGAATGGAATAGACCGAAAGAGGGCATATTGAATGGAATAGACCGAAAGAGGGCATAGTGTGACAAAAATGTAGCAGAGGATAAGTTAAAATAAAACAAGTATCCGACATTTTGTACTTCCAGATTTAGAACAGGAGATTGATGATTATAATGTAGCCTGTACACTTGGCCTCTGTTTGATGGGAAAGTTCAAACACTTGACACAGAAGGGGTGTTTTCTTTCATTTCAAGTTCTAATCATAAAGTTCAAGCAATTTTGTTAATACAGAGTGAAAATTCATTGTTTGCCCGGACCAAGGGAGAGTTACATTTAATCTAACAAAGAAAACAAAAGGCAAAGCAGAATTAAAAGGACAAAAAATGATTGAAAGAGTAAATTATAAATTCCACTAACTATCAATAGTAACAAAAGGGAACACCAACAGACAGCTATTAGTACATTTACTTTGTAGAAGGGACACCAAACCAAATTCTTGTGAATCAATCTGATCATACATGCAAGTACAAACAAAAATATATCCAGGACAAACACCAAAGGGAGAAAATAGGGGAAAAAAGAAGACCAAAAATAAAAGACACTGCAAAGCTTACATGCAATCAAGAAACTGGAAGAGGCACTTTTACAGAAGCTTCATGCAACTCAGGTCAAATGATTACATCTTATGCATATGATTCAATATTTATAGAAAGCTGAAATGAGAAATATTAAAGATTAGGAACAAAATTCACAATTTAGCGACGACCTATAAATCAAAGCACTGTCCTCACATCTGCATTCTGAACAAGTACATTTCCAAAGTTCTAAGCCCAACTTAATAGGACCAATTAGTGGGAAACAAGAAAAAAAGAGAGAAAGGAAATGAAATGCAAAACTGAAGCTCCTCACCCTGTTTTTTTGCAAAGAACTCCATATTTTATTTTGGTAAAAACAATGCACCACTCAGTCTATCGAATGATAGAAACAAAGAAAAAAAGAGAAGTTCTGTCTAAAGTAAAAACAGAGCATTTAGAACCGATCACTGACCATCAGGACTCCCCAAAGGAGGTACACCATGCCCACCAGCACCCATGCGCAGTATAATTGTTATAGCAGGATTAATGAATGCATGCTGACTCCTCCGAATCTTCATGAACCCAAAAATATCCAGTGATTAAGCATTGAAAATACATCAACAATGGGGCCTTAGAGAGAGAGAGAGAGAGAGAGAGAGAGAGAGAGAGACCTCATCAATATCACCAAACGGTATGATAACCTGTCAAAAAGTAAATAAAAACAGACGATATTAAAGAAACGATTCTACTTGACATAGATGGTAACAATCAATAACATATAGAAACAAAACTAACACCAACTAAACAACAAATCAATCAAATGACATGCATCTTTATCTTTTCAAGACTAAGAATCAAGAAATATAAATAAATAAGTAGTCTATAATAGAAGCATTACATAGTTATTTGGGACTTTTAGGTCATGTCCCTGAAAGTTATTTTTGCGAAGAAAAAAAAAAAAAAAAAAAAAACCCAACACATTACATAGTAGAGAAAACTGGAAAAAAAAACACAGCTATGCTACTGATTTTTTTAAACAACTCCAAAATATTAAATCACGAGTCAAGGTGGGTCAAAAGGGAGGGACGGAAAGGGAGATGGAATTTGCGGTGTGGGGGTTGGTGGGATGATCCACGTGGCATCATATGCTTACACGTGCGCCAAGTGAGCACACAAACATAACTTTTTAAGGAATTCAAACAGAAGGACAACATTAATGTACTTTAGTGACTTCAAGGATGACATTGACCGATCTTCAACTACAGGGACCAAAATGATGAGGGATCCCACTTTCAGGGACCATTTATGATAAAAAAAATACCCATGCACAATCTTTGACAAGTCATTATTTACTTTACATTTTCATATTAGAAAAATGTATCTACAATAGATGCAGCGTCTGGCCAATAAAGCAATATAATTCACTACTCCAATCAATATAATTGTTTGTATCACAAATACTTAATCTTATCTTTACTTCATCAAAAGTTTTACACCGTGCCCTTGCAAATGCAAACCCTCTGAACCAGATGTTCTGTGTCCATAAATGTTGTATATTAGATTAAAAAAATAAAAGGTTAAAGGACCCTATATTCATCCAAGTGAAAATTAAGTCCCTAAATTATTTTTTCAGAAAATTAAGTTCTTAAACTCATAAGAATCTGCCTATATCGCCCCGACTACAGGTTCGAAGCTATTCTATCCTATTTTTTGTCAATTTAAGTCACGTGACTTGCACATGACACACTTAAGAGGGTAATGCTGTCATTCTCTCGACCATCAGACCTTAACGCTGCATATAGGTTGTGAATCTAATAGCTAACTTACCCTTCAAAGTTAATTCCATACTCTAATGTTTCAGAAATATAAGTCCTTAAACTATAAATTTGTCAATCTACCCTTCAAAAGGTATCACATGTAGGTCACGTGACTTAAGTTGACGGAAAAATGAATATAATAACTTCAAGTCTTATAGTAGGGATTAAATTGGCAGTTTTTAATGATTTTACGGACTGATTTTTTCGAAAAAAAAAATATTTCAGGACTTAAGTTTCAGTTGGGTGATAATTCAGGGACTAAATCTGCAGAATACTCAACAAATTATGCATCACATAAACATGTTTGTAAAAATGTACAGAGTGTCAAACCACCATGCAATATGTCAAATAGCCACAAACCAAACAGCAAGACATAAACGAAACACATCATTTCATTAATAGGAAGAAACCCAACTGAAAAAACAGGTTTCAGATCTTCCAGCAAGGAATATAACACAAAATCATCAAAATTTCTCTACATATTGACTGAGTGAAAGATTTTTACCCGACACACAAAAATTTTACTGAAACCATCAAAATTGTCAAAATTTCTCAGATATTTCAGGGGCAGGATAGAAAAAAAAAGGCATCCTGTTTTCTGAACCAATCAAGTGTCAGCAGCCTATTTTGAGCTTATCCGTGTGCACCAAAAGAGGCAGTTCTGTATGACTTCATAAACATTTTTTATCGTGCTTCTTGTAACAACTTAAAATGCACCAAAGTTGACAAAATGAGCATAACTTAAAAGAGTAAAAAGAACATTATAGATTAAAAGTTTGACCACCACAACACTGAAAAGATTAATAAGACCTTGTGAATCTAAAGGATATATCTAAGATGGTTATAGAATCCAAATTAGTTTATATAGGAATATGCTCAGCCACTAACGAAAATTAAAGATTATGAGAAATAGGAGAAAACTAGAAATCAGATATACCATCAATATGTTTAAGTTAGTTTCTCCATGATATATAAAAATAATGATTTATGATAAGCTTAAAAGAAGGGAATGATAACCTAACCTTCATTTGCTTAGAAAACACATTAGAGTGGAAGCATATGTGCCACGTAGAGACATACATACGGCCATGATACAAGAATGACCTCTCAAGTGCACATGAATAACTATTCTCCACAACCTGAAACAGATACCAAAATTAATCCTTCAACTGGAACTACCCAAATAATTAAACAATCATGTACAGGTATACTAATAGATATACATCATCAAGAGTGCCACATATAAACACTAGTGCACTCAACCCACCTCATCTGGAAGTAAATTAAATATAGTTTGCAGAGGCCCTGGCTTTTGATGAACCACCGTAGGCCCTTGTCTATCTAAAGGTACCCTTCTTCGAGCATTCGCTCCAGCATAGCCATTCATTGCCCTGCCACTAATTTCATGGTTATTAGTACATCATAAAGAAATATAAATTACAGATAGCAACAATAACATCAGCAATATATTTTAACTCAGGTTCTAGTCTACTGAATCAAGGCATGCATAGAAAGAAAAAAGAAAAAGAGCTGCCGTAGCATAAGAAAATTGTGGTCACATCATGTGCAGTTAAGGGAAAAGTGAAACTGTGAACATGATTGAAATCCAATATGTAGTATCATCTCAAAACAGAAAATCACATGAAACCCAGAGAAATATATTTATTTCCAGGCATGATATAAAAAGAAAAATTATTTGACCATAGAATCCACACAAGAATCTCTAGTGATGACTTCAACTCCTCTCAAGATAAACTGAAAGAAAAGGTTTGGAAAATAGTCCAAAAAGACTACCTTGGAGAGTTAACAGGTAGTTTTATTGTTTTTATATGGAGACACACCTGACAAGCAAAAAACAAGATTTTAATTTATAAGGGATAGTGAGAATACTAATAGCCATACGAAGGATAAAACCAAACCCAAAGGTGATATGCAGAGAAAACAACTACCTGCCCTGATGGGCTATCCAATGTATACCATACTGCACCTGTTTGACCCTCGGTTTCAACTGGAACAGTAACAGAACCCAGAACAGTGCTTTTCCATATTATATCCCAGTCATATATTGTCACATTAATCTGCTAGGCCAGTAGGAAAATAAATTAGTTTAACATACCAATCCTACATAAAAAGATCACTACAAAATCAATATTCTCAGCTTAATCCAAACAAAAGGAAATACAATTTCAGATGCAACGAACATAAAACTGCTGTCAATACATACAAAAAAAATAATAAACACCATTATTTTCCACAAATCGGTGTTCATATAAGCAAGCCTGAAAATATCAATAAAGCCCTCCGAAGGACAAGAGGCATTGGTTAGCTTTTTAATTTAAATGCAGGGCACACAGAAATCGCAGCACCCTTAAAAACATATATTAGAACCAGCTTTCCTGTATATAGCTTATTGGAAAAACAAAGATAAGTATTTTATGTAAGGTAATAAAACATGATGCCTACCTGGACAGGAAGCTCATCAACAGAAAAATTAAACTCCTCTCCCCACATGGGATTTCTTGAACCAGGGACCATTGAACTGCATTAGCAAGAAGAGTACATAAAACATACTCATGAAACATAAGATATGTATATGATTGTGTGTATGTGTGTGTGTGCGCATGTGATTGTGTGTGTCTGTTCTTAACCATCATTAAACAAAAAGTGGCACGGTACAAGAACACAATATCAGGCAACCTGAATCGCTTTTCTGTTCCACAAGTGATCATAGCATAAGGATCCGATGTCCCATTTAAGTTTGCACCAATGAGATTCTTAGCCGCCAACAATTCCAGCTGGAAACCAGTGCACCATCTCATCATAAATGAATAGATAAATAGATATACAAATAAGGTACACGGCTTTTTATATTCAAGTCTTCATCAATTGAAGTACAAACCCCAGAATCAATCATGAAATACCTTGATTAGATATGCAGAACTGTTTTGAAGATCTCCTTTTAACTGGATCTACAAAATAAGTGCAGAACTGCATGTCAAACAAGTTAAAAATTACTCAAGGAAACCGTTATCTTTGAAACTGCATGTCACAAACATAATGGATAAAGACTATACAATTAAGAAAACCAAAATATCATTTTGTTCAGTCATCGCATCAAGATTTACATTTATTACCCTAAAAAACTTCTTGTACTTAATAATTAGCCCTCACATACAATACAGAATCTAAAGGTAGCTGCAACAAGTGTAGGAAGGTAGATGGGGCTAACATTACTTTAGTAAGCTTCTCTTCGTTTTGTTTTTAAATAAGTAGAGCAATTATAAACAAATAGAACTTCTAACGTAGTTATACCAAAAGGGTAATACTAGATTCTTTACACATTTGTCCGCTGACGCAATAACTTACTTCCTATAATCACAGTGAATTTGCATCAAGGACACTGGAAAAGAAAAATGCATATATGATAATAGTAAAATAACAATAACAGCAAAAAATAAAATTTAACCGAGAGAAAAAAAGTGAAATTAAGTTTGTACTTGTTTGATCAAATCAAGCTCAGAATGAGTTTTCACATTCCCTAATGCACTGCATGTTTTGTAACTGAAAACTACTTCGTGTTTGACCTTTTCCATAGGTATCCAAAACCCACAAATGAAGTTTTTCATTCCCAAGGGAAAGGATTATTTCATAAACCTAAACCTTTTCCTGGTGTTAATTTTTATCCGAAAATCAAAATAATGATATGCTTCTTCTATTTGTTTTCCAAAAATAAAATTCTGCTGCAAAACAGGACTCTCTGAAAGGGGCTCGCTACTGCAAGCTCCACTGTACCTTGACAAAGACACTTTTATACCCAACTATTGCAGATAATGTAAAAAGAAAGCTAGATTCCCTTGGTTTCAGTTAACGCCATCAAAGGAGTGGTTGCTGGATTCGTAAATTTGAAGTTGGGAAACGCACAAGGATAGATTAGAAATGACTTTGAGTTGACTTTGTTCGATCACTAGAGTGTCAATAGTTACTACAAACCTCGAATTGTATGCATAAAACTGATTACAACAAAGCTAACCAAATTTCACCAGTGCTATGTCAAAAGAATTACTTGATGGAAACTCGAAATTACCCACGTAAAACGTTAAAACACGAATCAAAACTTGCCTAAAACCCCAATTGACATAATTATAAACAACCAAGGACTAAACCAACCGGACTATCGATGAAAACCCAGAATTCCTCATAGCAGAAAGCATCAAATCAAATCAAATCAATCACATGTATGAACGCTAAAAAGTAGTGAATTCGACCTTGTCTTTGTCATCAATGGCATCCCCAAACGCACCGGAATTATCGGAAAGTGTGCGATCAGCAGAGCCGCCTCCGCTGCCTCTGAATGTGAAAAACCAGTAAGCGAAGATAACGAAGACGGAGGCAGCCACAGTGACCTTGATCTCCCACAAGGACGGGACTAGGAAATCCAACGACACCGTTTCCATCATGGCGTTGGAGTTTTGAATGAATCAGAAATTACAGGGTTTTGAGTAAGAGGTGATTAGGGTTTTCAGGGCTTGGGAAAACTGCCATGCGAGGCGATGACTTGAATTTGTACCAGGCGACCGGCCAGCATTTGAGACCAAAAAAAAAAAAGGGAGAGGGAGTTTTTCCTAGAGAGAGAGGGTACAGAGAGAAGTCAAAGTTGGACCGTTGGGTTGAATTGAATGCGTTTAATTTTATATGTCTCAATCCCATCGATCATCGGAGCTCCCTTGACAAAATACCCTTGTGAACATGTAGTAATAACGGTGCGTTACGTCCTTCTTAGTGGTGAGATTGTAACGGTTTCCGGGGGCGCTTTGGTAAAGACAGCTGAGGTTTGTAAATAACGCCTGCAATATGTCCCCAATTTCATGTCAAATTAAAATTCGTTGAACGCAGTCGATATTTTCATAAAAATGTTTAAAAAGTTATACAAAGATATGAAATGTTAGTCTGAACTTCACTTTATATCGGAGAAATCTTTAAGTTTAAGCTACAAATATATATAGTTAATATTTCTAACACATCTATTAAACAAAGAAACTTTTATATTTAATTCAAACTAATGCTTAACAATCTCAAAAATTTCATTATAAACTTCTATTATTTGATGAAAGCAACTAATATTAATATCGATATTTGATGTATTCGCGAATATTTCTACAAATTTACATATCAATATTTTATCGATATCGATATTTTAAACACTGATGAAACCTATATAGAGTTCACCATGATGATAAGATTTTGTGTCAATAATACAAAAATAAGCAAAGAGAAATTAACATATTTTTTATTATATAAAAAGCCATCGTAGCAGAATGTTCGTATCATAAACCTTCTCACCAGTACAGACAGGGTAATCATGTTTAACGTCAAAAATGTCATATTCTAAAACTAATGTAGAATATAAAATATAAAATGCAAATACACGACGACATTATAGACGGCTAAGAGTAATGCCCGCATTAATTAATTTAGTTTAAAAAACTGAAATGACGCCTGAATGTTTTTTGTGTCAATTTTGACGTCTCTTATGTTGCTGTCAATTACAAGTTAAACATAACATTTCGGATGGAGCAAATGTTGGAGACGTATTTGTCCCTCCACCTGTATTTGACATATCGGATGGATATGTTGTAGTAGCAATTTTCATATTCCACACACACCTTTGTTTAGCCAATTGCGGCAATATTGCTTGTTGAATTTTACTAAGCGTTGATTTTGTCGTAGAAGGAGTGCTGAGACAATTTTAATACTAAGCGTTGTTTTTGTCAGAGTTGTTTTTTATTTTTTGTTTTAGGCTTTCTTGGGCTGGTTTGGTAAAACCAATATTTAAATTTATTCGACACGGTTGACATTTTTATGAAAATATTCAAAAATTAAAAAAAGGTATGGAAATGGAGTGAAGTCTAAACTTCACTTCATATCGGATAAACTCCTAAGTTTATTTTAAAATCAACATATATCGTCGATATTTCTAGCATGTTTGTTAAATATTGAAGAAACTCTTATATTTCGTCCAAACCAATGTTTGACAATTCCTAAAGTTTTATTTTAAATTTTCATCATCTTCAATCGAAGACAACATATATCGATATTGATATTCGATATATCCGTCATGACACACCCCGAACCGGAATGTCAACTAGGACTCCAAATCGAGTTATGTTGGTCGACACCAGGAAGGTGACGAAGCCATAAAGCGTAGTGATGTGGAAAATGTGAATAAATTTAAGGGAGTTTTAACGAAAAACCCGCGGTACTGTTCACTTTAACAAAAAACAACATTTTTACATTAAAAAGTCAATCCTCGTACTATTCACGTTATCCTTTATTTTTTCCTTATCATTTAAACTCAAAGTTTTCAAGCATTTTTCATTAGTTTTCCTTAAATTTAAATCTAAAAATGCCTAAATACAAGAGTGCGCTATGAGCGGGAATGAACCCAATTCACACATGGTGACGGAGCATAAGTACAATATGGTAAAATAAGGTGAGAATTATACCATCAATGATAATCGCCTACACCAAGATTTGCCAATAATCCTCATGGTACGAAAACTTTACTACTAGCAGCTAGAGGGGCGAAAAGTAAGGGTGAATGGGTCTAAAAATAAAGTTTTAATAAAAACCTTTTGAAAGTGTTATAACCCCTCGCCGTAAAACCCGTATAGCTTCTAGAAAATAATACTACTACGCAGGTATAAAAACCAATGCCCAAGAGCAGCAAAATTGAAGTATGCCATGTCATAATATCTCAATAATAATAAATGTAATCCAGGTGTGAAACCAATATAAAATAGTATGTCAGTCAGAGTCACCTAACGTGGCTTGTACGACTAGACCTGTAGCTCATCAATCTAGGCTACCACACAAGTCGAAGTCACCTAGTGTGACCTGTACGACAGACTGGCACCAGACTTGGATCCAAGGTGAGCGTACGGTGTGGGAGATGAACAATCACATGAAGGCTGACCCTAGCCTTGGGCTGGAGCACTAATACTGGAGTGCAGCCATGATAAGCTCTAAATAAATGTGTGCATACCAATGCAATACAACCCATTCAATCACATAATACTCACCTGAAACTTACCTTGAGTCTCCGCATCATCACACAATACAATTCACAAGTGTAACAATGCAATATTTAAAATGTAACTTATTTACGACATGGCAAGCAAAGCATGGTTCCATAAAAAAAAATAAAAAAATAAAAAAAATAAAAAAAATAAAAAATAAAAAACATTTCTAGAAACCGTAAAGTTTTTATATATATATAATATAAAAAGGAAAAAAACCCACTCACCTGAGGTCCGCGCTACAACTCCCTAGCACGAATATCAAGGTGTCACAAACGATCGGGCCTAGAACAAATATCAATTCACAACTCAGAATTTGTGTCGATAGAACACGTAACTTACGTAAAACACATTCCCAAGGACGTTCTAGAATGATTTGAAACCCATTGACCAAAAGTCAACCGTCAATCAAAGGTCGACGGCAGGGTCCACAACCCTACGTAACTCGATCCGAAAGATCTACACCTCAAATTTCCGATCCATAAATTCCAAAGATCCACATTATGCTTCTAAAACATCATACTAAGTTTCATTACGATCCAACAATTGGATCTCCGCCAATTGCAAATTCAAGTGGCGGTCAATGTTTTATTTTATGAACTAACAAATCCAATTCGGGAAGATCCATACGTTGGATTCCTGATCTGTAAGTTTCTATGATCCTCATAAATTACGTACTATAACATAATAAAGTTTGGTGACAATCCAACGGTCGGATCGTCGATTATTATAATAATCAAATGACAGACCTTATTGGAACTAGGTTCAAACGAAGGAAATTCGTTAATCGGACTTCACATATAGAATTGGAGAATCAAATTTAGCCTAGGAAAGTCAAGGGATGCCTCAGCCCACTCGCCTCTGCCTCGCGCTGCCGTAAACGGCGGTTGGTGGCCCCGACTCGCTGGAAAAATCAACTATTTCTAAAAATTCTCAAACTTCAAAAAAATGAAGATCTCAATGAGTAGAGCAGGTTTTATACCTATGGCTAAGTCTAATTTGGTTGGGAAATGCCCCAAATCATCCTCAAACCGCCAGAAACCCCATAATAGGTGTGCTTTGATTTGACCTCGATTCGAACTCCGACGCCCCCAAAATTGTTTGGGCTTTGTTCTTAGGTTCAAGGTGAGTGGTTTAATAGTGGTAATGGTCGACGATGCTTTCACGATGGGCGGATCTCCACGGTGACACCTTCGGAACCCACAAGTTTCATTCTTCCTCAAAACGGGGTCAATCTAGGTGGATTTTGGGTGGAAATGAACGAGGGGAGGTTAGGTAGATGTTTGGTAGTGGTGGTAGGACGTGATTCACTGGAAAAATCGCATGAATGGCATCGGAAAGCTCGGATGTCGCCGGGTCGGTTACAGGTCAAAGGGAACCCAGCGGGTGACACACCTCGACCGAAATCAGGGCTTGCTGGCCATCATGTGAGAGTGACGTAACCATGTGCACAATGCAGAAGCTAAGAATAATAATAAAAGTACGAACAAATAAAACCCAAACTGCACATAGGGTAGTTAACATACATGTGCAAGCGTAAGTGTGAAAAATAATACTCAGAGCACCGAGAGCCTAGTACAGTCCAGAGGAACCAACACTAACTAAACACACCCAGAGGTGGTCCTACACTGGTGATAATCTATCAGATATGCAGAGAATTCCTTGTGAGCCACCAAAAGAGCAATCCAAACTAGAACCTGGAGAGGCGCAAAACAAAAAGTGTGAGTGGGCAAAAACACAGTTTTTCAAAATTATTTCATTATCAAAAGTTCTAACCCCTCGTCTTAAAACCTATATAGTTTCCCAGAAAGTAGAATATACACATACATAGAAAACATGCTTAGAAATATGCCATGTCGAATGCCACCACATAAAATGTAAATAAACCAGGTAATGTCAAACAATGCAAGTAACATGTCAGCCGGAGTCACCTAACGTGACTTGTACGGCTGAATCTAGAGCTCAAATCCCTAACTCACTAACTATACCTGCACACGAGTCGAAACCACCTAAAGTGGTCTGTACGACATGACTGGTGTAAATAAATATGCTCAAGTGCTACGATCACGTAAAGACTGGGCGAATAATCGCGAGTCACCTACGAGTCGGAACCACCTATAGTGGTCTATATGATAGGACTGTGCGCCTAACTTGGATCCAATAAGCGTGTGGTGCGGGAGGTGAACATCACGTGAAGGACTGTGCCCTACTCTGGGGCGGGAGCACTAACATTGGGGGTGCAGGTTATGAGCTCTCTATGCATCTCACATAACTACTAAACATCATCATAAACCATAACTTACCTGCCACTTACCTGTGCGTTCGCAGCACCAAACACACATATATGCAACTACTAATGCATAAGTAAATAGGCAAACACAACGCATGGCATTTTAAAACATATAAACATTCCATTTCATTTTCTGGGAAAACCACAAGTATATAGGTATATACGGAAAACCAAAAGCCCACTCACTGGTATGTGGAAGGGTCGTGACCCCCTTACCTCAAGTGACTGCGCTCGTCCTCTGGATAGGTCTCACCTATATGCGAAACAACTATAAAAACGTCAATTTAAAGCACATAACCAA